AAACAACTCAAATTATAAATCAAAAGATTGTTAATCTAAATTTAAACAAGCCCCTGTGAATTAGCCCTAGCTTTGTTTTCTCCGATAATGACTTAATATTAAGCAGTCTTCCAAATGACCCGTTAATACCATGAAGTCATACATGTAAATATTAAAAAGATGACCCCTAAGGAACACGCATGACACTTTTTCAAAACAAGATTTCAAATATACAAATTGTATATAAAATTTTATATTTGTAAAATATCTTTTACATAATTTCACCACGTTAGCTGCAATTATTAAATTTAAATTTTGTCTGAGCATCTACAGTCGAATGCCTTTTTTAAAGCCAAATTGATAACTAGGGATATAATCGCAATGTAAACCCTCATCTATTTCTTTAAGTAAATTTGATATCCGATGAATTTTGTTTCTTTTTGATTGGTAGAATCTTCCCAATCTTCCAGATTTTAGGAAAATATGAATTATTTCAGCAATTTTTTATATAACAACTAGATACTGTAATGACTTTTTATTATTTAATTTTGCTAAAATTAGGCAAACTGTTTTCAAAGTTGTGAATGCAGTGTCCCGTAAAACGTAAAGGGACAATTGAAAACAAAATTTGTACTGATTCATTTAATCATAGTAAAATTAATAAAATTAATAAAAATAAATTAATAGTATACAGCCGTATTTTAATACATGACGCAACAAACAAGATATATGGTTTTAGTTACGTAAAAGTTATCAAACTCTTTGACCCACGCTTGATGAATGTGCCTTCCTTTTGGAATTTACAAATTTAAAAAAGCTTTTGGAACTAGGTTTTGTCTAATTTTTTAAATGTTGAGAATAACATTTGGATTTTCAGGGTTAAATTTTAGTTTTTTAATAATCTCAGTGTAGAAGTAAACCAAACAGGACCCTGATCTAAATTTTGTCTAACTGTAGGTACAGAGTTAGTTTAGTGTTCGATAAGAGAAAGCGAAGTTTAACAGATTTGTTTTCCCAAAGTTACCACTATCAATAGAAGCATTAGCAGAAATTAAATTCTGGGAATTTGAGGTTAACAACAGCGTCGGATGATAACTTTTCTCAGGAAGTACACAGCGAGAGCATCTCGAAAACGATATATTCAATGAAGACGAACAGACCATGGTAAAATTAAGGAGGTCAAGTCATGCAATCACATCTTTATAATTTTTTCAAATGTATTCGTTTGACATTGTCAAAATTTATATTTATAAAACCATTGTATATACACACGACATGGAAATACAGAGATGGAAACCTTTTTTTATGTAATCTATCCTTTCCTTAAACTTGATAATTATCAGAGACTAACTCATTGTACAGGACATCAGATTTTAACAACGTTTCAGTAAAAACAATTATTTTACATTCAGAAAAGAAACTTTTAAGGAAAACATATCTTAAATTAGTATTTAATCCTATTATATTTTTTGATACAGGATTTGCCAAGCTTCATTTAGTTTTATTTTTGTGGCGCATTTAAGATTTTTACAGAATTATCTCCATTGGACCGTTCTCTAAAAACTATTTTTTACCAAGATATCATCGGACCAAAACTAATTACTAATAATATATAAAAGTCTGTTAGCAACTGTTATTTTAAACGGCGAAATTTCGCGCTGCTGAAACTTTAATTTAATTTTCAAGATATTTGAATCGTCATCGCTTACATAACGTTACTTAAATTTCATATAATTACGGATTTAATAGTAGAAGTTTCAGGTTGAAATACTATTTTGCAACGAGATACATCAATAAGCTGGTTTGTAGTTGAATGATCATCAACATTTACAGCGGCTAAACAATTTGAAGAAGTTAATACTGGAGCCTGCACAACAATAGCAGGTGGGTTGGAATTTGCTCTTTTGGAAGTAGAAATATTTGAGGTTGAGGTTATAGCGTTGAATCACTATTGGTGGTTAACACACCGTTGAGTTTATTCAATATGAAAGATTTGTCATTTGGTTTGGCTAGAGCTCCAGCTATTTTCCAGCACCTGATTGAGCACGTAATCGGTGGTATTCTAGGCTGTGTTAATTGTCTAGATTATAAAATAGTTACAAGAAAGACCGAGGAAGAACATTTGAAGAATTTAGGATATATGTTCCACAGGTAAAAGGAAAATGGATTACGATGTAATTCACCCAAATATTCATATATGCAACCGAAAGTTGAATATCTTGGACACGTGATTACTAAATCTGGCATTTACCCTTCGAAGACGGGTACAGGAGCAATTCCATGATCCAATAAATCTTTCATGATCCAAGAGGCCTTTGGAACTGTAATCTTTTATGGGAAAGATTAATTGTTATTGCAGTTTTATTGAGAATGACTCTACTCTTTTTGGTCCACTTAAATTTCTTCGTAAGAAAAATGCGGTATTTGTTTGGGAACAAGAAGAGACATTTTAAGAATTGAAACGGATTACTTATTACATTTCGATGAGAATTAACCTATAGTGTTAGCCACAGATGCATCATCATACGGTGTTGGTGCTGTGATTTCACAAAAATTTCAATGGATCAGAGCAACCTGTAGCTTACGCATCAAACACTTTATCAGATAGTCAGAAAAATAATAGTCAAATAGAGAAGCAGGGCTTATAAATAATTTTTGGAGTTCGGAAATGTCATGACTACTAATATGATCGTAATTTTAGGTTAATAACAGATCATAAACCACTTGCTTCAATATTCAGTCCAATGAAAGAAATCAGTAATACGACAGCGCACCGGCTTCAAAGATGGTCTTTGATCCTTTCTGGATATAAGTAAACAATACAAAAATTCGAATCACCATGGAAATGCTGATGCTCTCTCAAGACTTCAGTTTGTATAAAGGAATATGTAAAAAAATGTCCTATCACCTTATAACAAGTTGAGAACCAACGTAATCCATTTTTTTCGATTGCTCCCAACGCTTCACTTTCCCGCCACTGCCGAGAGCGCCACCTCCGCATAACGTGGGGAGCACGTACACCCCATAGTCCGGATTATAGGGGGGTAGTAGACTTAGGATTTTGAATGTATCTTAGCTATACCACAGTAAAACTAAACAATACAAATACTAAGTCACAGAAACTAAATCTGGCAACTGTTCACAAACTGTGAATGTAGGATAGAGTTATTTATGGAATGCAAGGGTTCACACAAGGAAATCGTATTGTATAATTTATTGCAATCAGCACATACACTCCGGAGAGGATTATTGAATTCATAGTTCGATTTTGCTAATGTTAGTTGAAAAATTGACCGCGCAAAAGTTTGATGATAATAATACATCTAAGCATTAATTGCCTTTTCTCTAGTGTAGAAAGATCGATTAGAATACAAGTCATGTTGCAGATTAAGTGATTGGTTGTGAGAATTAAGAGTACCAAAAAGTTTAACATCGTCAGCAAACGTTAATATTTTAGAGTGAGGAATATTATATGGAAGGTAATTAAAATAAAGTACGAAAAGTAGTGGACCCAAAAGGCTACCACTATAAAATACAGTAATATTTTAATATAGAGTGTTATTAAAAGAACTCTTTTGTCATGCAAAAAAGACGATCTCTACCTTAGAAGAATTGAGGAGAAACCCATTAAGTCAAGTTTATATAGTAACAAATTATGCACAAACTTATCGAAAGCTTTATTAAAATCAGCATAAATCCAGTGTGAACTTAACAGACCATTTCTAATAAATTTGTCAAAGTTGATCTTCCTTTAACAAAAACAAAAATGTAACGAAATACGTTATTCTTTTTGTAACCAAACGCTTAAAAAGTTTGGGAATCGCACTTAGTTTTGCAATACCCCTATAACAATAACACATCTACTGACAGGTTTATACATTTAAATAAAAAAAGCTCTAACGCCAAATGACAGGAAAATAACCTAGGGTTAGGGAATCATTAAAGTACTTATTAGAGAAAGATATAGTTCATATGCACACGCTTTTAAACTGAAAGACGGTACACCATCTGAACCCGGTGATTTGGAACATTTCAATGACTGGAAACCATTCAACACGGTTTCTTTTTGGAGATAAAATGTTTGATTCATAAATAATATTGTCCCAGGTATGCTGAAGTTGGAGGTAGAGTACTTCACATGATTCTATATCTATTGATTGTTTGCAGAATCTTGAAAATGTTGTTATACCGGTTTCCAAAATCTTGTTTCTTTCCCAAATTGGTCTGATATCGTAAGATATAATTTATTTCCAGGTAGCGGTTACCAATTTAGTTCACCTAAGCCTTTGAAATACAATTCTGGGTTGGGAGAAAACTCCGTGACATTGATCCGAGAGGCTAGTATTATCGGTAGAAAAGGAACGAAATAAGAAGTGTAATGAAGATTCATGCGAATCATATGATACGACTTTCCCTTTTGACTGTATAGTTTTGTCTTGTGATGAGGATTGTCTTTTGTGTTGTTAGTTTGTCATATTTATTGTGACTTCTCTGAAAATCAATATACAGGGATGCCAATCTGTGAATTGGCCTCTTGAAAGTCGCTTTTGCTGTTTTGACGTCACAGACCCTAATAAGCCCTAGTTTGGAATGAATTTGAAGGTAATTGATTGATTGCTACATGGTTTGTTGTTTGCTGCTATGAAGTTAATAGCATTGTCGCAGTATAATGTCTGACAATGGGCTCGTCTGCTGGTTAAACGTCCGCATTGCCCCTAAAAAGGCTTCTGTGGACAGATTGGGCACAACGTCTATGTGGATGGTCTTAGTTACAACAAAATACTGCAATGGACGTCCTGCCTTCACTCTATCAGCTGGAAGATTACCCATTAATTGTTTAAATAGCGCATGCGTGGCCTTGGTGCCCCGTATGCATTGGTGAACAGTACTGCGTGCGACTGATTTCCCGTTGATAGTCCAGAACTGCGCCCTGGATACGACCAATAATACTTGTGTACAGTGTTTCAGACTTACACTGTTGACCCTTAATTTTTTTATTAACAAAAAATTTTTGTTTTCAATTTTTAATTTGCATTTATTAAATAAGTAAGTAATGTAAGTATTTCAGTTAGGTACACTTTAGTGCAGGTTCATTTACAAATGATGCAAAAGGTAAGTTTTCACAGGTGAGTATTTCAGTTAAATGTACTTTAGTTCAGGTTTATTTATAAATGTTGCAAAGGTAAGTTTTCACAGGTGAGTATTTCAGTTAAATATACTTTAGTTCAGGTTTATTTATAAATGTTGCAAAAGGTAAGTTTTCACAGGTGAGTATTTCAGTTAACAGGTAATTATTTTATTTTTTTTAATATTTTACACTTGTGCTATTTGGCCACTTATTTAAATACTTGTGACTTAGCACTTTTTTTCACGGTCACGATGGGGGATGCTGTCTTTAAAGGTTTAATAACAAAACTTGGAATGACCTAACCGTGATTTGCAACACCACAGACGTCGCCTTGACGTTTCCAATGCAATGGAAAGCACAAAGAGAAATGACAAATTCTATGCTTGCAAATATGTATATGTGATAAATATATGCGGTGCGTACCGCTATTCTACAGTATGTGCTAAATAAATAGCACATACATTTTTGGTTAAAAATATAGCACACTCTTGAAAAATTGTTGGTACAGTCATGTACATGCCTCCCCCGCTATGAAACCTTTGAAAACAAATATGATTTAGTTAGTAGGCATATTTTTAATGGGACCAGAAAATACATATCCGATTTTTGTCTGGAATGCCTTTACGTCACCAACTCCTGCAGGCGTACATCCTTCTTGTTGTATTGCTGAATATGTATCTGCGCCCAATTCAAGATCGATTAGAATGATGCTACGGGGGTCGGGGTCAGCGAGAGCTTGTTGATTGAAATATGATGTTGGGTTTTCGATAAATGGGTCGGAGTAGGTTCTGCGTGGCATTTACCTTTAAAGCCTAAGCGCCATTTGTATGCCTTTCAATTATTTTAAAGATTGCAAATCGTTTGCTTTGGTACATGAATGACCTAAGCCCCAGTCGTTGAAATGCTGAATAGGCAATTTTTGACATTGATGACGATTGACAAATTAGGGCTCGCACAGTTTTCCATGTATCGACACTATCAGTTGTGAAACGCACCAGGGCAGTTGGGACAAACACCAAGACCCAAGCGAAAGGTGGCATGTGCTAAGAGCGTGGTCATCTTGGCATAACCCACAGGAATACTGCCAGAAACTCGGTCGCTCTCTTGGGCTCTCCCGCCGACCCGACCTGCTGCTAGAATGTTGTCTTCTTCTCTGTAGTGAGTCTTCTTCTTGGGGCGCTGCTCTTGTCGTTGCTCACGTTGCCGCTGATCCTACTGTTGCGGACGTTATCAGTCCAGACGCCGGTTTGTGGGTCTCTCTTTTCCGTCATCTTCCCAGTTGCGTGTAGGTAGGTAGGTAGGCCGCCATATCTGTAAATGAGAAGAAGTGAGTACCAAGTTCATTAAATAAAAAGGGGGCCGACTAGTCAGTCGGTAAACATTTTGACAACTTTGGTAATGGGTCGACTAGTTACACCGCTACTACAATATCTACAACTCTGATGTTAAGGTCAACCCCTTTGTACTTTCGGACAATGCGTCCTAATCTCCATTCAGATAAGCGGTCGTCTTTCAGAACTACGAGGTCCCCTTCTTTTAAGTTATCCTTATGATATTTCCATTTGTGTCTTCTATGGAGCTCATTCAAGTATTCAGTTTTCCATCTATGGCAAAAATGTTGTGAAAATATTCTGAGTCGTTTCCAACGATTAACGTATGAAATATCTGAGTCGGAAATATCAGGTTCTGCTGGTTCTAGCAGAGGCGACCCAATTAGGAAATGCGCTAGAGTTAATGGAGTTATTTTACTAGGGTCATCACTTGCCGAACTCAAAGGTCTTGAATTGAGACAAGCCTCTATGCGATTAGTGTCGTATTAAATTCCTCGAAAGTGAATTTAAGATTTCGAAAACTCTTTCGAGGATGTGTTTTAAATGACTTAACTCCTGCATCCCAAAATCCACCCATGTGGGGGCTCCAGGAGAAATAAATTTCCATTTCAAATTTTGATGAGAATTCTGAGTCATAACTTTTGATCTAAGATTTTTCATAAATATTGTTCTATCCTTTTTTAGGGATTTAGAAGCACCGAAAAAGTTTGTACCGTTGTCTGAGTATATACAGGAGGGACATCTTCTTCGACCAATAAACCGAGTGAAAGCGGCTAAAAAGGATTCGGTGGAAAGATCGAAGATCAGATCAGACGGCTATTGGATCTGATAATACCATTGCAATCAATATATGGGTTTAGAGTCAGGAGACTACTACTAGGTGGAAATTTTGATTTTCGTTGCGATAACTTGTACTCGTGGATTTGAGTAGTAATGTTGTTGGGTGACCATGATAGTTAGCAGCTTGACGTGCTTAATTTCTGTACTTGAAAATCCAAGACCTCGCAAATGTCTTTTATAATATCGCATGGCGAAGGCATATGATCAATATGCTCTGGGCAAGGATGAGAAGTTTTTCAAAGGGTCGTTTTTTATAAGTTCTTTCTTGACATCTTCAGTAATATTGGTGAGAGTAAAAACTTTAACCGCTTTCTTTTCTAAATTTGTATCTAGTGGGACTTTATACGATGGCCAGCTTGTTTTTGGATGTTTCAACCACTGTGGTCCTTGCCACCATAATTTATGTTGCTTTAAGCCGATCGGTGAACTCCCTAGACTTGCTACATCAGCGTGATTTGCTTCAGAGTCAACATGGCTTCATCGCTCCTTACCCCCGTTTTCAATAATTTCTGATATTCTGTTGCCTACAAACGTGTTCCAATGACACGGAGGCTTTTTGAGCCAGGCTAAAACAATTGTCGAGTCTGTCCAGAAATGTGTAGCAATATTTGTTGTCGGAAGGTGGCTAATTTTGATAAAAGTACAGCCCCGCACAGTTCAAGTCGTGCCAAAGAGATCTTTCTTATAGCTGCGCCGTATGCACTTCCTGAGGCGTCACAGAATCCATGAATTTCTATCTGATTTTTATCGATCTAGGTATAGTGAGGCAATCAATTTTTGCAGAATTTTTTCAAAAATTCTTTAATTTCAATAGCGTAGTTGGTTTAAGAATGTCTTCCCAATCTATTTTGTCTAAACATATCTGTTTCATAATTAATTTAGCTACGACAATTATGGGTGCTAACCAATCACAGGGATCGAATAATTTGGTTATGGTGGACAGAACTTCTCTTTTTGTATAGTTGGGTTTGTTTTCAATAGAGGGTGATTTAAAAGAGAAACAATCTTCTGAAATATTCCATATAATCCCCAGGGTTTTAGTGGAAGCATTTTCAGATATATGTAGGCAATATATATAGTTTTGCTCGCAGAACAAGTGTGGGCTCTTCCTCCCAAAATTGCAGTTATATTAAACACGTATATGTTATTGGAGGCTTTTGTGTTTTCGGGTATTGGTCCTCCTATTATCCAACCAAATATGGTGTTTTGTGCTAAGAACGAGCCAAGAGATATCATAGGTGTCACCATCGTGAATATTAAAGGACCTATATCCATTCCTATGAGAAGATCAACTGGTTGACTTGTGTGGAGATTTGGGTCTGCTAAGTTAATGCCAATCCCATTTGTAAGTTTACTCGTTTCGATATTTTGTGGAGGTAAATTAGAGGGAAGGGTCTTCAAAACTGGCGCCCATACGTCTAACTCAAAACTGGGGTCTAAACGAGAACGAAGAGAAAAAAGGCATGATTTTTTAGAGGTTTCCGAGACATTTTGGCTAAGTCCCGTAACATGAATAAGGGTTTTCTTGGTTGGCAAATTCAACTTGTTTTTAAGTTTTTCTGAGATAAATGTAGACTGTGATCCAGGATCAATAAGTGCTCTGGCATCATATGAGTGTCCTCTACTTTGAACTTGGACCATTGCAGTAAAAAGCAAAGTTGTGCTAGGGTTATATTAAAATTTCTTTGATCTTGAAGGGTCAGTGCAGTAATATTTGCTGATTTTGGGGACTGTATTGGTTGGGTGCGAGCTGAAGCACTAGTACTAGGGCGTACGTCATCTCTATCTATATTTTGGGTTTCCGTTCCCTTATGTAGCATGGAATGGTGTCTCATATTGCCAGATCGACAACCAAACTGACTTTTGCATTCTTTTACGCCATGATTTGACGAAAGACAGTTATAACAAAGACGTGAAATCTTTACTAGGTGAATTCTATCATTTACTGACTTTTCTACGAATTGAGGGCAATCTCTGATAAAGTGATTTGATGCACAAAGTGGACATTTTTGTTTATGTTGATTCTTTGGCTGTTGATTCGAAGCTTGTTTATTTATTGTGATTGGTAATTAGACCATGTATTGGTTTGAAAATTATTAGCAAATTTTGATTTTTTACTGAAATCGGGGTTTTGTTGCGCATATTTTGTGCTTGTAGGTTTAATATTTCCCACAGATTCTAATGTTTTAAATTTGTGGATCAAATAGTTGTTTAGTTGTTCCCATGTGGGCAATGTTTTAATATCTTGCAAAGAGGTTTCGAACTCTTCTAAAAAAGGCCGTGGCAATTTTGTGGAGCAAAGATATATAAGAATAGGATGCCATCCCTTAACGTTTACACCAAGAGTCTCTAGAGTCTTAATGCTACTATTTAGGGTACGTTGAAGTGTTTTGAATTGTAATACTCGAATCAAATGTTACGTTGGGTAGATTAAAACAAAAATTTATTTGGGCGTTGAACTGCATCCTTTTATTTTCGTAGCGCTATACAAGATTCTCCCAAGCTAAATCGAATCCGTCATTTGTAAGCGGAACATGATAATTTATCTCTCTTGCCTCTTCTGTCGTCTTTTGGGTCAAGTGAACAGCTTTTCAACTTTACTTAATTTGGTGTTCTGAATGAAATTGCCGCGAACAAATCACCGAAAAATGGGCCAAGCATTGTATCCTCCACTAAATGTGTCGGTGTCACATGGCGGCAGTCTACAAATCGGTGTAAATTCTGATTCAGTATTCCCTTTTTGCGCCATCTGAGATTCTCGTTTCACTTTATCTTCTTCTTCCTTCTGTTTAATTGCTTGCATTTGTCCATTAATTGCTCCGAGAGCTTTTTTGTACGAATCAATAGCTTCTAAATAATGTTTTCTCAATTTATTTTTGCCAACTGGTTTTTCTTCTTCTTCCGGAACATAATCTCTGCATTCTATATACGCTCTTTTCACCTGTTAATAAACTGAATCTAATTGAACTCTGGATGCCTCTAATCTATGTATGTCATCTTCTGTATTTGCTATGCTTAGAGTCGATGCATAATATTGCAAAACACTAAGGCAATTTGCAAATTTTTCACGACTAAGTTTGTCCATCTATTTTGAGAATTGGGTCTTAGGGTCTTGGGTCTTTGGGGCAAATTTTTATTTAACCAGAACTTACAAAGTAGTCCAATAAAGGAAACAAATATTTCATGTATGTATTTTTTTGTGTTGGGTTGCCCAGGAAACCTTTAACGAAAGCAAGCAAGTTAAATATTTGTCAAAATCAACAAATATTTTAATTAAAGCCGTTGATTTTTTTTTTTTTTTTTTTTTTGATTAAAGTTTTTTTTGGTCGAACCAAATGTTTGAGTAAAGAAAAAATATTCATTCAGCCGTCATAATCTAGCGAAACGTTTCATTTATAAGATTATTTGTTTGTAAAATCGAAATATTTCAGTTTTTGTCGAGGCATCATCGGAAATATCCCGTGAATTCACTGGGCTAAGCTATTCTTTGGGCAGGTCATTTATTATTTTTGGATCATTAGCAGTCCACTTCAATAGCTCAAATCCACCCGATTCCATAACGGCTGTTAACTCCTTGCGAGATTTTATGGTCTCTTTGATCGAATAACCTCCTGCTGAAACGTTATCAATATAAAGGTTTTCCAAAATTATTTACGATGCTAGTGGATAAGTGTCTTTTAGGTGCGCAATTAACTCCAAATGTTACCGTTAACAATTCATAATCTTGTATAAGGTCAGATGAAGATTTTCTGGATAATATTCGTTGAAACTGTGTTTGACTAGGGTCCAATAAAATTTGCCTGTACATCTTTGTAACGTCAGCATTATAAACGTTTCTGAAAAATCTCCACTTTAGTACTTGTAATAAAATATCTTGCAGTTAAACCGGACCTGCATATAAATTGTCATTGAGACTCCGCTTTTTTGACATGGGACTTGATGCATTGAAAACAACTCGTAATTTTGATGTAATCTTTTCAGGTCTTATGATTGCGTGGTGTGAGAGATAATAGTTTGGAGTCTTGTGTATATCATTTGAAGATATTTTTCTCATATGCCCGAGTTCTATATATTCAAGGATCGTGCTATCGTATAATTCCTTTATCTCTGGACTTTTCACAAGCTTTCGTTTCATTCTAA